CTGAATTATTGCATTGATATTTGGAATTTTCACAGTATTTACATTCTGCATGCTGTTGTTGAAATCCAGCAATATGAGCAATTTGATTAAATGTTCCCATATAGAACTTTAACAATAAAGATGTAGATATTTATGATAATCATTTATACATATCGATATGTTCTGTATCGGTATAAATGCATTTTTTATCATTATTTATTGAGTACAAATGCCTTGATTGGTGATGATTTATGAACTTAATCATATGCATAATTATGTATGGATATCAGTTGGTAACTATGCGCATTATGCGCATATATGTGTGCGCATATATGTGTGTGCATATATGCGCGCATAATGCACATTGGCACATCTATATTAAAATCTTTACTGATTAAAAATTATTTGTAAATAAACAAGAGTTTTAAGAGTCGCACAATAAATTTCATGTGAATGGATACCATTCCAAGGATATTAAAAAGAGATAATGGAACTTAACAAACATACTCAATGATTAGAATGTGTCCAAGATTAAGTATTGCGTGCACATTTATTTTTGTATTTGTAAAAATGTAAAATGTAATAAAGTTTAACTTTTTTCCTGTTTCTAATAATCTTCATCCCAAATGAACGAATGATCACAATGACAATTTAATGTCAATGTTAATGTACAAAATTTACAATCATATCACTATAACTGTTGGAACGTATTATATTCGACATCATTTTCTCCTACCAACATGTAAATTACAACTTAAAATAGTGCTTTAAAACAATAACAGCTTTCGGTGGAAAATGATTATATGATTTTTGTTTGTGAGTCTTCTTTTTTTATCTGGAATATCTTTCAGAACAGCGATAATAGACTGACTTCTTTAACCATCTTGCGTGCACTTTTCTCAAATTCATCATGAAAATAGTACAAAGGCAAGGCAATACTGGTTCATGTATTTTGCTCCACAAATCCACAACTTACTTTTTTGATCAACTATGTTTTCTCATTCAATTGCTTAAATTAAGGTTAAGTGTAGAACCAAGAATTTGAGAAAAAAAAGTTTTACCTTTTAATATTACATCGAAACAAAGACTTATAATCATCAAATCTTTTAAAAATAGTAATGCATAAAAGTAATACACAATTTTGAAACATTAAAAGCTAAATTTATTATAATTGTGGATTAAAATTTTTAATGTCTTTAGAACATAGTTACACATTGCATCTGTATCTGTCTGTCAGCTTTAGCTTAAGATGATTTATTGGTCCTAAGGAACATTTGTAGAATGTGTAAAATTGATCGATTAAAGTAGCATGAAAAATTAGAATCAATTCTGCATCTGTCTCTGTCCATTTTCATAATCTACTTGACCTACTGTGTCTATAAAATTCAAAAAATCAAATAGAAATTTAATAATAATAATGGTAATTAAATGCCAAATACATACTCATATCTAAATAAAAAGCTTCTTTTAATGTCTTTAATTGATCGAAATAAGCTCATACTCAACTTACATTGTTTCTGATTCTGACATATGACAACATCAGGTTTGTCACTTTCATCGGTTGTGATACATAACGATAATAATAAATTATTTACAATCCGTGTCAACAAGATTATTTTAATTAATTATCTATCCGCAAAAATTTTCTGACATCAAGTATGATTTTACGTACAAGCATTTGGAGAATATGTGACGCTTTTTATACATATATTAACGTTAAATGCTGTTATTGCTATTATTTCATGATACGTGTACATATACATACGTGTATCAATGTATGTTTGCTATTTAAATTTTTTATCTTTGTTTTTCACTAAAATACAAAACAGTCATTAATAGGGCCATTAACAACTTATAGGAAATAGGAGCCAACCAAGGTTTAAGCACCGAACGCCCAAAAACCGAATGTCCAAATCTCGAATACCCAAAATCCTAAATGTCCAAAAACCAAAATACCAACACATCCAATACCTTAAATTTCACATGTCCAAAAAGTGTAAGAGTAGATTAGTACAAATTTCACCCTTTGCATTTCGCATGTGTTTTCTTACATATTTTCAGGATTTCGGTAAGTCAGGATCTTAGACATACGGGATTTTGGGCGTTCGGGATTTTGGTCATTCGGTATGTTGCACATTCGAGATTTTGGGCATTCGGAATGTTGGATTTTGGACATAGCATTTCGGGACTTTGGGCTTTCGAGATGTTGATTTTGGGGTAGGTCCCTTTATTGACAGTTTGCTAATCCAAATGTTTTAGAAGGGAAAGAAGAACGCATATCCAGTCATGCTGTTAAGTGAATAATAATGAGTAAATAATGAAAATTGCGCATGAAGGGTTACAACACATCATCCTACTTTGTCGACGTAGAACATTTATTTTGGGAGGGTTTAATGTCATATATATACAGTATTAACTAGTATTTTGCATGGTTTGATTTATTTAGTAAAAACTATAGATTTTGAAACCCAAAGTTTAATCAGTTGAGAAAAATCAGGTTAAACTTCTATAAATTTAATCTAACTTTTATCTGGATTTTGTTCAGCCGGCTATTTCCTATAATTTGCATAGTATTTCATTTGGATTTGACAAAATTTTTGCTTATTGTTAACCTGATTTTATTTATCTGGTTAAATTGTGGAGATATCTATACAAAATATATGATGTTTAATTTTGAAAAAATTTAATCATAACTACAACGTGACTATTGCACCTGACTCGGAGTCTGAATTTATAAAATATGATATATTTACTGAAATTACATGATGTTTCTCACAATTTCTATTCGTAAGTTGAAATGATACAGAAAAAGGATACAGTAACTTATTATATTGCGAATTAATAATTTCTGCAAAATTGTGGTAAACACCCAATGCATTTACCCATACATGAATCAAACTGACTAGGCATGTTTTTACAATCGCACTTAATAACACATGCGAGTAGGCGATTGAGAGTTGGTTGCCATTCCGCAGTGTCAAAGTTATCAGGATCAAGAAGATTTGCACAGCTAACGGCCGTGTTTAAATAAGTAGATAAATTTACACAAATATTTTGAAAATTAGCGAGAGTTGAGAGAGGACGGAAGTGGCTGTGAAGAACACCCAATACAAGTGTCCACACATGAATAAAACTTATCCGGCACATTTTTACAGTCACATTTAATAAGATATGTGACTACCTTATTGAAGCTAGCAACAAGGTCGGGGAGATTAGGGTTAAAAAGGTTTATGCAATCAACAACCGTCTTCACATCGAGAACAACGCTAAATTTGTTGAAAATTATGATGTTGAAAAAGATCAGCGATAGGATTAAGGGTAGTATTTGTGTTTGGCTTTGAATTAGGATTGTTGGGTTTTGAATAAGGGTTTTTGAGCTTTGTGTTAGGATTGTCAGGTGCAGCCAGTGGAGCATTAGATGGGTTGGGGTGAAAGTTGCCAGATGGGCACCCAGTGCATTGTTGGTCGGCACAACAGTGGCTATACCCATCGCCGGTTGAACAGCAACCATGCAGGCAAACACCCACATATTTGCAAATGCTGGTATCACCAGGATTACATTGAAAGATAAAACCAGGATCATAAGGGCAATCTGAATTCCAAAACAAAAACGTTAATGACGAGTAGCATGAGAATCGATGAAAAAAGTAAATGAAATATAAAATTACTTACATTATTTAATTCATGACCACATTTGAGATCGCCAACTTTATCATTTTTGTCGCATGTACAAGCACTGATATTAGAATAATCACAGACAGCAACGGTTTCATAGATGAGAAAGGTGAAGAAACTTAAGAAAAAATAATAGAACAGTTCATTTTATCAAGTTATCGTTGTATTGCAAGATTTTCATTAATTGTAGTGGGTGAATTGTTCACTTGACCTTTATATCTATGAATATTTACACCATCATTGTTGAGGTGCTAACCCAACTTGACTCATTTATTAAAATTTTGTCTTTGTGTAGTATAGATGTTATTTCACATAAATCTTGACCAGTTTTTTAGTTCACTCTGATGATCACTTCCCAAACTGGGGCAATCCACCACACAAATTATAGATATCTGATTCTGATCTTAAAGTTAATCTTTAATATCTGTAACTAATCAAAACTTAGAGAAGAAAATTAGTAAATGTGAGTATGAGATGATTGATAAACATTGCATTATGCAACAATAGAAATTAATTAAGAGAGATAGATGTTATACTGCAAATTTAAACTTATCTTTTTATATAATAAATATGAATAACTTTGTTTAGCACTTTCTTTGAATTATAAGTTTGAATTACAAGCATATTTTGAATTGTTTATTTATTTGAGGATTAGCAAGCTAGATACAAGTTTTATGTTATAAATTTTGACAGAATATTATATAGTAAAGAATATTATAATACAAATATCTTTTAATGAAAAAATATTTATTCAAAGAATATTAGTAACAAGTATCTCATCAGCTAATAAAGTTTTATGTCTCTGTAAAAAACCAGTAATTAAATATCAAGTCAAGAGCTATAATTTACTTAGCTAATATGTTGAAGGAATAAAAATAATTTGTAAATTTTACAAGTGAAAGAAAAAACTGAAGACAACTCTTATGAAATCACCTATTAGTTTTACTAGCTCAACTATCACTTCTGAATTAACAATAAATGATCTATTAGTTTCTCAATCAAATAATAATTATATTTATTATTACTATAATATTATAAATTTCTTTAATGTCATAATTTTTCAAATCTTGAATTTATGACTAATTAAATAATCTTTAGAAAATATATGATTTTAAATAATTTAATTAGTGTATCAATTATAAATTCAATCACAATTCAGTAATATTTTTGTAATATTTCTGTAATATTTTAGTAATACTTCAAGATTATAATTATATAATTAGCTCAAAATTAGAAATAGTTTACAAATAGTTCATCAATAATTTAGAAATACTTCAAAAATAGTTCAACAATGAATTTAATTTATTTTTCTTTATTATTTGTTCATTTTAGAATATTTATCTTATCTTTTCATTTTATTTTATTATTTATATTATCTTTTAATTTATTATATATCTTATCTTATTATTTTACTTGTTTATTTATAGTTTTTTAGTCCCAAAACTTGTAATTATATACTAAAATAATAATAAATTAAGAATAGAGTTTAAATAGAATTTGTAAAATCTCAAAAATATATAAATATCTCTGTTTTCAAATATGAAATAAAAGTATTTGAATAGTAATAATTTAATTGTTTCTGAAAATACTTAAGTTATACTTATCTTGTAATTTTTCTTTGATTTTTGCCTTGATTTCTTGTTTTCAATTATCTCTTCTATTATAATAGATTATATTTTGATTAATTATATATTTTTTCTTGCCTGAAAAATATAAATAGTGAATATTCTTCACTTAAAATAAGTCAAGTATATTTTATTTGATTTATAAAGATTCTTGTAAGCTTTTCTATATATAAAAGCTTTGATTTATTTTAGTATATATCTTTTATTTATCTAACAGATAAAAAGATATTATTAAAAAATTTAGTTAGTATATTAAATCTTTTGTTTTAGTTATAATATTTATTATTTTAGTTTTTAATATCTACTTTTATTTTAGTTTTTGTGATCATAACTCTTTTTTATTTTATTTTATCTTTATCTTGTTTTAATATAATACTTATAAGTATTAATACTAGAAAATCTTTAGAATAATTATAATTTTCTTTATTTTATAAATAATTTAGTCTTCACTCTCAAAACTTATTATAAATTATATTTCTAATAAAATCTATCTTCACAAATATAATTTATAATATTATCATTAATAATTACAATGACATAAATATATTTATAATTATTATTCATTACCAAAATATAATAATAATTAATAATATATATATTATGAATATTATGAAGATCTTTAATTTTTATAAATAATTAAGAGAATATTCTTTTTATTAATATTTTTAGTATATTCTATTTGAAGAGCAGATAAAGAATTCTGAATAATTACATCAAAAGGATTAAATAATAATCTTTATATAACAAATTTTTTATTAGTATATATTTCTGAGAATGATATAATTCTGCTTTCATCTTTAGTAATACAGGATTTTTATTAATATATTAAAAAAATGATTATTAAAAGAGGAATAACAGGACTTGCACTTTTAAAAAATATACTATTCAAAGCAAAAGTACTTGCAGAAATAAAATGGCAATTTGAATTAGTAGAAAGCAAAATGAACTTTTAAAATATTAATTAGAAAGAAAGAAAAAAAACCAGAAGTAAAAGTTGAAAGAAATAAAATAATTAGAGGAGGAGAATTGGAATTCAAAGAGAAGATTGATGTAATTGAAGAAGAAAAAAGAGTTATTATTATTATCTTCATCTATATTCAAATCTGAAGATACTTTAGCATGATAAGTAAGAAAGCGATCAATAAATCAATAAAATATATCAAATTCCTTTTTTTTAATTTCATGAATACAATTTAAAACATTCTTAATTTTCTTTAAATTAATTAGTAGCAATTCAAAGTTAAATAATTTTATTATTAAAATTAAATAATTATTTTGACTACTTAAAATATTACATAATTTATTTTTTATTATTAATTAAAAATTGATTATTAACTATTAATGATATTAAAGAATTAAATTATATTTTTATAAATTGTAATCTATTTTATTTAAGAAATTGCAATTTTACTAATCAAAAAAATATACAGTATTGACCAAAAGTAAAAACACAGGGACTAAATTTATTAATAAAACATATGAAAATTAAAATTTTCTTTCTATATTAAAATTTATAATTTTATTAAGAATAACTTTTATTCTTATATCAAGATAAAGTTTATCAGTTGTAATTTAACATATGTTTTTTCAGTTTTTTTCTGAAGAGTTGCTCTAATTGTAAAGTTAGTGCAAAAATTTTTATTAATTAAATTTCATTTTTAATTAGTAAAAATTTTTGCATTAACTTTACAATTAGAGCAACTCTTTCAGAAAAAAATCTAAAAAATCTGAAAAAAATATATGTTAAACTACAACTGATAAACTTTATTTTGATATAAGAATAAAAAAAATTTTCTTAATAAAATTATATGTTTTAATATAGAGAGAAAATTTCAATTTTCACTATGTTTATTAATAAATTAGCCCCTGAGTTATTACTTTTGGTCGCCACTGTAAATAATATAATAATTTAAATCACAATAAATAATACTTTTTTCTTTTTATTATATAATTAGTATCTCAAATTTGGCCAAAATTTTCAATAAATTAAGCTATATAAACTATAATTTCGTATTAACTAATTATAATAGAACATTTAAATGCATTTTTCAATGGTTTTTAAAGTAATTATTGAGTTAGCATACTATAATCTACTACCGTTACGTATGCTCTAAGCCATATTTAATCTTATTCCAAACATTTTAGCCCCCAAAAAAAGGAACCAAATTTATATCAAAAAGAAACTTGCCATATTGCAACCTAGGACAGAAACATGTTCATTAATTAAATCACGAACACTTTTTTGGTATTATTAAATCTATCATATGCGCAGAAGATTCGATATGTACATGTACGTGTACATGTTCATTTAACAATAGAACCCCCTTTTTTTCTATTACATGTATATTTATTTGCGGTCAGATCTCCCTAAAATGCAGATTCATAAATGTACAAAAGTTTTGAAATCGGGAAATGAACAAGATGACTAACTACATGTACATGCATAATATCATTTTATTCGGCAAAGTAGTGTTATTAATACATATATTTTAATATTGGATTGGATACCCATTTGCGTTAATTACAGCTTCCACTAGTCTTGCCACATTTTCAACTTTTTTAAAATTCCCGGTTCGATTTCATCAATTCTTCTAAATTCTTGGGATGCACAAATTCATCTTTCCAAAATCATAAATGTTCAATTTGGACTTAGATCAGAACTCTGGACAGTCTATGGAAGTGAAGTTATTAGGATACTATCTCCATTCATTAACTAAATTATTTCTGTGGACTGGCGCATTATCATCTTGAAAAAGATGAACAGAATTAGCTGGTGATTCATCCATCTAAAAATGGGTTAAAATTCTGTTCAAGTATTTTTGATAGTTATTAATCTTCAACTTCAATTAATAATCTGAGTGCATCTTGAATAAAACATCCCGATTACCTGATTAATAATTCATCATTCCCAAATTACTAATTCTCATTCAAGAACCTTTATCTTTTCGCTCTAGAAACCATTTAAATCATTTTCCTCGGATGTAAATGGTATTCTTAAACCAACCCGACCAAAAACCAATTAACTGTAATTTCAAAAGCAATATTGAAATTTTCGATAATCTCATCAATTACTGTCTATTTTCTTTTACAATTTTAATATTTTAATTACTCTTGGGGTGCTCTTGCATTTAATATTCGCGATCTACCGTATCGGACAGCAACTGTGGTTCGGCCAAATTTTTTATATTTATGTATGACGTTATGAACTGCAAATTTTGGTCGTCCTAGAGTTTCTCCGGTTTCTTTTTCGGAAAACTACACTCCCAAGCACCGACTGTCTCGTCACGCTCAAAATTCGTAAGTTGGCACTTTCTGCGAGTGTTGGTTGGATTTGACATTTTTTTTACGCCGTTTGAAAGTTTACGATTTCGCTTTCTAAAAAGCTAGTGAACTTATACATGTCATTGGACTTTTGTTTGTTGCATGCAAGTCACCCCATACTATCCTGTACTCAGGCTTATAAGACCCATACATTTTATCTCTATAAATATTTCTCTCTATATGCAAATTTTGTCAAATTAGTCCTATAGTCCTGTATTTAGGGAGAGTTGACTGTGCATACGTTGTTTGAGCACAGTATGAGATCGCAGTATGACAAAAAAAATGTATTTCGATAATCTAATAAAAGAATGCGTTCCCAAAAAA